AAGCAAGTTACACAATCGGAAGATGAGAAGCAATAACATATTCTTGGGAAGAGTTCCCTTTTCATTGTTGTATGTCAAAGATATTGTTGAAATTCCATTATACACATTGTCAAAAACCCAGTGCTGTCTTAGCTGCCAGATTGGGTATGTAGTCAGCTGCTAGTTACTTGGAGCGAATTCCATGAGGAAAAGGAGAGTGGATCGCTACATTTTATTCATGGGTATGAAGTCAGCTACCTTCAACTTTGCAAAAGTACGTGTTAAGTTTATCTTCTGTAGTTTTGATTCATATTCAGCTAACTGATAACAGTAAGGTTTCTCCTCCCAATTCGAACAGCAGGTGATGATGGAGAAATATTTGTTTAATGCATTTGTTCGACATGGTGACAGACTATTCGGACTCATGTACCCAAACCAATGTCATGCTTCTTCCTAGTAATTTGTGTTAACAGACTAGATGAATTTATCTTCTTCAAGTATGGTTAGTAAAGTCATGTACATGCTAGAAGTCCTCTTGAATGGGAATTTGCATGTAAATAGTTGTAATGTCGACAACTTTTTATTCGTATGTTACTGTAAGGAAGGATATATCCTAATAGTCTGTCACAATGTACAAATGCTTTAAACAATTATTTCGCTATTTTGAATTGTTTTAAAATTGAGTTGACAAGTCCAAAGCGAATCCAATTATCCACTGAAATCAAAAGTTTAGTATACCATTATTCAGAACACGTAATGCGTCCAATTTCATTCAAGAAGATGTTCAAGCTCTTCTAAGAAACCAGAAAACTCTTCTAATGAGCCCTTTGGAATTACTACAAGCACACATTTTTTTTTTTAAAGAAACGTTAATTGCAATGGCAGAATGATAGTATTACAAAATTGAATTCATCCTTCCCCTGCAGATTAAGGAAACTGAAACCTCCACATCCTAGTGATGAGTCATATCTCCTTGAGACATTATTCTGTCAACCAAGGCTGTTGAGCTGGTGTCCATGAGCTAAGTTCACCTTCTTTGAACCAAAGAGCTGCAGAAAGGAAATGAACAGATATATTACATCAATTCCCTTTCTGTTTTCAATTCAATCAGCACAAAAATCTTAAATTAGAAAGCACAAGAACTACTTAATCATTTCACTTGAAAACATCCTAATTATAGATGGTCTCAGTTTCTTCTCAACACGAATCAACTCCTCAGTCATCTTACTTTAACAACAAACAACAGTCTTGAACAAGATCTCTGACTTCTTCATAGTCATCATAGAGAGCTTGTTTTAGAATTTAACAACTTAAGTAGGTTGGTGGTGGATGAACAAGGAGCACCTATATGAGGAATGAATAGACTTTACTGCTGAAATAGTAAATAAAGGAACAAATACTGCTGTTTCACACTAGATACACTGATATTACAACAAGAAGTCTGAAAACAAAACAATCACAAGTACACTATTGACATAATAAATCACATCATAAGACAATAATGAACTTTAGTCGTATAATCATAAAGATCACAACCTTTCTAGACATTCGAGAGGCTAGAAACCCTCCCAGAATTCCCTTTTCTTTATTTTCTGAACACCCTTTTCCAACTGTCCTGCCCCTATTTCTACAGAAAAAACCACCCAATACAAACTGTCTCATGACAGTTACTAAGTTTTTTAATTGTTTATTTTGGCCTCCTGGAATAAGTTTTTATTACTTGAGGCTCATCACAAGCACATACTGCATATTTTGCAGTCTGTTTAAGCTCTACCGTCTCAAAAGGTGACGTCTCTTTAGGTATCCCATTTTGATTATGTTATAAACAATAAGATAGATAAACTAAAGAAAATGGGGTATTTTCATAAAAAGAGTGATGGTATAGATATCCTCAACATAACTTCATTTCTGCTCTTTCCTCATGATTACCTTATCATTGTTACCATAGGTAAAGTTACAAAGGAAAGTGAAGACAAAGGCACATTATAGCAAAACAGAGATGAGAGAGAGATTTAGGCAGTGAACTGGAGAATCATATCTCAGTAAAACAATGTTCTTTTCCTCCATTTGTTCACACGACAAGTTAAATATGAATGGGGCGACCATTGCAACACTTACTAGTACATTTTTAAAGTACAAAACCAAGAAAAGTATCATTCCTGAATAGAAAAAGCATCTAGGTAAAGCCATCCAATGACAATTTCAACACTGGGGGTGATAACCCCAAGTGAAGGCGGAGTGCAGCATTATCATCTTTTAACATTACTGTGAGCTCGTTTGTAGTCGAATAAATATCCAGGCAAAATTTTATTTATTCTCAAAGACATGGAAATTGAAGTCACTACTTTTAGACATGGAATGACTCTATCAGGCAAATAAACATAGTGCAGAAACCAGATTAAGTGATTCTGTTGTTGCTTTAGCAAACATTTTACCTATTTCACGCTTGCCATTTTCAGGGCTATCACTTCCATGTACCACATTTCTGCAAACAGATTGTCATGGAAATCCAGTAAGTGCTTGGCAATATTGAGAAGTTGAAGTACAATGACTGTACTTATTGAACAATAAAGAGTAAACAAAACACTAATATCTGTTGTCCCGACCTTCCAGTTTGAACAGCAAGGTCTCCTCTGATTGTCCCTGGCTCAGCATTTAGAGGATTAGTTGCTCCTATTAGCTTGCGAGCAGATGCTACAACACCAATACCCTCCCAGGCCTTGCCAGAGATAGAATACAATCAAAGAAATTAGGAAGATCGGCAGATTGTCAAAGACACAATATAGGGTAAAACTCATTGGACTTTCATATAACTTGGTTTCAACTGGTGAATGATGGAAATGGGCTAAATGGAAAGAATCCTACCATACAGACAACAGGACCAGAGGTAATGTAATCGATCAGCTTGGGGAAGAATGATTTGGATTGCAGGTCCTTGTAATGTTCCTGTAACAATTAAGAATTTCTGAGCAACTACAACCAAAACTACAAAATTAACAGGAAATAAATACTACAAATAGACTTGAGAAATGATTCATAACACTAACATAGTAATACAATTCTTTTTTCCTGATCGACAAAATAGCATAACAACACAAATCTCTAGTTTTCTGAAAGCAAAAAAAGTAACTAAAAGTAGAAAAATCAATACAATCTTAATAGTACATATGAAATTAATTGTCAAACAATCCATTAGCTACTGCTTTAAAAGGATTCATCTGTATGTGAAGGTCCTACTTCTATTTTGTACAGGATCGCGTTTCTTTACTTCCCATTAGATTCATGCTTCTTTTTATTTCCCATTAGTCCAACCTATATGAAACTGTGACATGAATGTTGTTAAAGATTAAACTTCCAATCCAGATGCATCATCAAAAGTCATCATATGGTTCCTACTTCCTACAGTTACACCATTTGAGAAACGTAATTCCGTGAACATATGAATACTCTAGAGGAACTCCAAGCCTTAAATGGTAGGGAGGGAGGTAAAAGAGGTTTCGCGAGAACGTGTGTGTTTGTGTTGGGGGTGGGGGTGGATTAGGGCATAAGTAGAACTGTAGGAATGTTAAGTAATTTAAATTCTTTTTTGTTATTCACATCGAAACTCAGCTCCAGAAAAGACAAACCTCAGCCAGCTCCTTGGGGCATTGAAAAAGCTTCAATCCAGTTAGCTTAAACCCCTTTTTCTCAAATCTTGAAATAATCTCTCCAACCTATCATAATTAAACAAGAACATTAAACAAAAACTTAAACAAAGAGCTAAGAATAATGGGTTTTACTCTTCATAATTTTTTTTTAACAATCCAAAGTCGAAACAAAGAAGAAAAAGCTGAAGAGCATACAAGTCCTCTTTGAACCCCATCAGGCTTAATCATAATATATGTCTCCTCCACTTCCTCCTGAAACAAGAAATTGACCCAAAAATACAATTGGGTAAGCAAAAATTCAACTAAAATACAGCATTATGTACAGATTAGAAGAGATACTAGCATACCATGGAAGCAACCAAGTGGGGAAGGAATATACTAGCTGTATGGTTCCTTTTGGAGCCATGGGAGCGCGATTGGGTACTCGCAAAAAGATGAACTGCTGGTTGAAATGCAGCTAAATTATGGTGTTTCTTGATGGGGTTAAGGATTAACCTGCAAGAGAGTGCGCAGGATAAGCTACTGGTTTTGGAAGAAAGTGAAGAAGAAGAAACACAAGGATTAGCTCCTACAATGCAAAGACTCTCCATTTTTCTCTCTCACTTTCGCCTCAGGTTCCTCTTTGACACTAAATTGGTGCCACTCCTAAAAACTGAATTGCCTAAATTACCCTCCTTGCCTACCTTTATTTTTCGGAAAATTTTAGAGATCTCCCCTTAAGGTTTGCTTCGTTTAGTGTTTTGAGTTTAATTTATTTCTATAGTAGTCAGCAATGTATGTTGTGGTATGAATGAGATTCATTCATCTTAATCAAAGAAATAGTGAAACACTCGAGAGTTTTTTCTTTGATACAATGAGAATCTGAATTAATCAGGTCAGTGAATATTGAATATCAAATGATTATAGTCTCAATTTAGTAACATTCCATAAGTGAAAACATATAGGCTTCAGTCTCGAATTGACTTAGAAATATAAAAAGCTTGGTTAAACACGACTAAGTAATAGAGTTCAGCCTGAATTAATCGAACTTCAAATGTATATATGCAGTGGAACAAGATAATGTCTTAACTTTATGTACAATCCCTGTAATTTGTAAATATCAATCCGGGAAAGTACTAATAACATGTACATTTTTGACAGACAACTTGGGATTGTGGGAAGGAAAAATAGGATAAAAAAAATGAAAGAAATGTCGAAGCTATACACCAAAAAACTATTTTATATGCAAAATAAAAATGTTTGCCTAACTTTATTTCATCACAAACTCCATCTGAAAAATGACACTCAATTTATCAGATGTTCTTATTGTTGAACTCCACATTGAAAATAGGCACACTAAAATGACATTGTTGTAGAAGATGATCATATGATTGATCAGCATTTCCAGCAAGAGGCAGCCACGATAGGCTTCGATTTCCATCCAAGAACCAAGCAACCCTTCTCTTCTGTGATGGTGAATCCTTCATGTCCATTCACTTTAGCAAGCCATTGTTTGGCTTGTGACACCATCTTAATAGGTGCTGCCTGAAAACCTGCTCGGCTCATCCTCCTACGCCATTGGTCCACCCTCTCGTGCCTTTCCACCCTTGCTGGTCCCTCGCAGCTCACAATGTTCTTAATCTCCTCTGCAAAGTAAAATTGCTCTATCTTGGCTCGCCTGGTGTCATACTTAGGCAGCATGACATCAAGGGAGTCGAAGATAGCAGAGTAATAATGCAGAGCTTCCATGAATCTCCCGAGAAAAAAGGGTCCGTTGTGACTCGAGTCTTGCTCCACAAGGACTAGAATCTTTGGAGAAAGTTCATGAACTACCTGCAGAACAGAGTTGAGAGCACCGCGGCTTTCCTTCACCACGCAATGGAGCTGAAGAATGCTGTTAACCACGAGGACCTCGCCATCGTATACTTTGATGTCCTTTGGTTTAAGGTTTTCCAAGTTGCTTTCCACAGCTGAAAACTCCAAATTTATACCAAGGCTTCTTGCATAGTCCTCAAGCTCATCTCCAATAATTTGCAATTTCTCGATATTCTGTCCAACAGCAGTGATCCTAAGGCGATGTGGGGGCTGTCCAGGGCAATTAACAAGACTCTGAACAAGACGACGCCATTGGTGACCATGAGGCAAACCAAGGCTCATTCCCAAATCAACCACATGAATGAAACTCTCTCCCTCAAAGGCTTCCAATATCGAGCAATTAGCCACAAAATGACCAAACTGAATATGTGGGCATGTCTCATAAAGCAACCTCAAAGCTTCTTCTTTCTTCTCCAAGGCAATGTCTGTTTTATTCATAGCAGGGGTAGCAACATAACCAACCGTGCCAAGCGGCTGCACCAGAGCCAGCCTATCAGCCAACCCCTGCATGAAACAGGACGCTACGCGCTGGAAAGAGGTCCCAAATACTAATGCACTGGCACGTAGCTCCGATAACAACACGGATGCACGGGACTTATCTCTACAAGCCACAGCTTCAGCACAAGTAATTAAAAGTTGGACTAACTTCATACCTTCCCCATTTTCCTCCTCCTGATTAATTATATCAGCTGCTGCCTCTTCAATAGCCTCAGCAGCAAGGTACCTTTGGTTCAATGCCCAAACATGATCGCGAAAATGAAGCCCTGGTTGCAATGACAAGCTATTCACACTATTAGTGCTACCAATTCTTGGTAAACTGCAATTGCTGCTGCCACCACTGCTGCTATCAGTACTATAAAAAGTGCTGCTTCCAAAAGACTCACCAAGACTTGGGGTTCTCCTTAGCCTTTTAAAACTCCCACTGTCATTAGATAAAGTTGAAATGATCATGCTATTGGTAGGAGCATTTCTCTTCAAAACAGATGTGTAAGGATTAAGAGAATAAGACAGTTCTTTGTGATGACTAAGATAAAGGCCATTTTCCATAGGATCATAACCAATTTGATCACCATTACAAGGCTCAAGTGATAGAAAAACATTAGCCATATCATGAATCATTCTTATTCTTCTTTTTTTTCTTTTGGTCTCTTTATTAATTCAAGAAACTAAAGCTGGTTAAAAGAAAGACTAAACAGGTGAAGTGGGGTTTCATATATAAAGTTTTCATGGGCGTTGTTTCTTGTGTCGATTGATAATTTCGATAAATTTTGTCTTGATGCTATTGGATGTAATGTAATAGTAGTAACTAATTTAACTACTACTTCAAAAAGGACTTGACAGGGAGAGTTTGTCTGTGAAAAGAAATATTAAATTAAACATAGAGCAACCGATTAGCTCCCATGGCCTTGGACTTTAAAATCTGCTTCTTAGCCTGATTTGGTGACTCTACAGTCTACATTCTAAATTTCATGACGCAAACTAACCTTAACCATCATCTTTTAAATAACCAGAAATTAGTTCCCTGTGACCCGCCATAAGTTCGGAATCAAGGGAGTACAGGTCCCTCCTCAACCTAGTGGCGGAGTCAGAAATTTTAATAGTAACATGCCCTAAACCCCATAAGTGGGTTTGGGGATGTTAGTATGTTCTCAAATCTTAATCCCTACCATGGAAAATAGATAAGTGTAATCATAACAAGATAGAAAGAAAGATACAACAAAATAGCACAATCAAAGTAAAACTACTAAACAAGAAGATGAGAAAAGGAGGCTAGCTCCCTCCATCTCCCTTGGAAAAGCACTATAACACATTGCAATCCTGAGTCATGTCCGCGATAAGCTAGAGATATGTCATGTCATATCGGATCACCGTCCTCTAGTTTTTCTTCAGTCAAACTCTCACACCTCCCTATTGATACCTTCGCCTACTCCTCCTCACATGGTCTTTTCCACCACGGAGCCCACTCCCACAAAAAATTTGCCCTGTTCCGCCACACAATAACCATAGGTAACCACCCAAACGACACTCTTAATAACTCAATTGTTTGGCTACATGAATTTTCACTTTATTGGTGATGGTTCTATTCTCATCTTGTAATCCCGTCTCTCATTTCCCCTTACCTACAATTTTATTATTAGTTTTTTTTTTTTTAAAAAAAAAAGGTTACCATCCAAAAAAAGTTTGATTAATCACACTTGTTTAAAAAATAAAACATGTTGGTGTAAATGTGTTAACAGTACAATTATTTTTTTTGTGTGTGTGTTTATGATTTAATCCATTTTGTTTAAAAAATCATTTTTCCTATTCTATGATATTTTGTGTTCATGACGTTACTTTAAAATTAACAAAGATACCAAACAAAAACCAGAATTTTGGTAGTCCACTTTAATTCGGCTTAGAGTATTTTATGAAAGCTATGCTAACTTTTTAATATTTGAAGTTTACCGATCGACATGAGAAGAAAAGTATTTACTTTTTAAAAATATCTCATTCTGCTAAACTTGCTAAAAACAGGTAAAAAATTGAGATAGAGTCGATCCATAAAACTGTGAAAGAAATTGAGGGACTAAGTCGATTCATTAAACCTATCCACCTTAATTTTGACCTGTTTTTAGTAGTGGAAAAATTGAAAAGAGAAAAAATAGTAGTAACCTCAAACAACCAAAGCTAGTATAGTGGAGCAATTTTTGGTTTAAACAATGAAGTATACAAGCTAAAATATTTCCTTTTGCAAAACCAAATCTTATATGCTTTTTTTAGAGAATTATACACTTTAATTTATTTTATTATTATATTAGATAAACGGCACAAGATTAATATTGTTGCTCTCATTAGAAGCTTCCAAAGTTGTGAATATTATAGGAAATAGAACAAGGTAAATAGCCAAGAAGTGGAACATGTCAACTCCATTGTTTTACTGTTTTTTAACTATAAATCATCATGATAACTACTCCTATGGTTTCTTTTATTAAAACAAGAAAACAATGTCAAACCTTTTCGTCATTGGTCCAAAACCAATCTCTATTAATTGATGTTTGGTACTTCCTCCGTTCTTAATTACATGTCGTACTTATTAAAAATAAATGTTCTTTAATACTTGTCGCTTCACAAAATCAATACTATAACACTATTCTTCCTATTTTATTCTTGAGAGTTATTGGCCTTGAAAGCATGAATTTGATCAATATAGGAAAACTAAATGATTAATTCATGTTTATTGATCGATTTAATTAATCAAAATAAATTAATTTATGTTCACTTATTGAAAACTTGACTAAAGGTACAATGATAATCTTACTTAATTCCTTAAGTGACGTGAAATCTAAAATGATGACATATAAATAGAAACAAAGGGAATATTATTGAAAAAATGATTTAAGAATTAAGTAAATAATGCTAAGTGACAAGTGCAAATGAAAATTCTATTTTTGGAATAGTGGACAAGTAAAAGTGAACCCATGAAGTACTCCCTCTGTCCAACAGTAGCTGTCAATTATTGACTTGACGATAATAATTGTCCACTATTGACTTGGCACACCTCTTAAGAAACAATAAATAATAAGGGTAATATTATCATATCATCCTATAATATTTAATAGCAAGCGTAAAATAGACACAAAAGGTTATCTCTTGATTTTCTAAATTGAACAAATATTTTTAGTATAATGAACAACTATTATTGAAAGTGAGGACTTACATTATCAAACCTATTTACGTTTAAAGAATTCTTACGCAATAGGACTTACAGCTTGTTTGGATAAACTTTTAAAAGTGTGAATGTAGTAATTATTCTCAAAATCCACAATTAACGTTGGAGAGTGAATCCCAAATTTAGTGGAACCAGTTGACAATTAATTAGGAATTTAATTTAATTATTAGGGTAACATCAGCCGGCTAACATAGGAAAAACTAAGTGCGTAATTGATTTGATTTGTAAGAAAAATTAATACATAATATTCTTAATTCTTCCTATGTGAACGTCATAAGAAAAGAAACATCTTAGCAGTTTTATGACTTTTTATGAGTGGATTATTATCAATATCACAATATACATCGGCATAGCATATGCTAATCATGTACTTAAGGTTAACAAGAATGCATATTCGCAAATATAAATAAAAATGAAATTCCTTTTTCAACATATTTTTTCAAAATACTCCCTCCGATTAAAAAAGAATGACCTACTTTACTTTTTAATTTGTTTCAAAAAAAAAGATTCCGTACCTTTTTGGCAACATTTCCACAAAATTAAAGAATATTTTGATATATTTGACATAACTATAATTTAAGACCATAAGATTAAATTTCGTGTTAAATCAAAAAATGCATTATTTTTTTTTAAACGGAGGGATTAATAACTAAGGGGGAATAGAAGGTTCCTTCCTTGTACTCACTAAATTAATCAGTACACAACATTGGCCAATCTAGAAATACTTGCACGTTTTGCTGACAAAGCTTGGATTAATTTACTATTAATTGGCACTATCAGTAGCCCATGTAAACTTGAATTAATTAACTATATTATGTTTCCATTTTATGGGAAATTTTTGGTACCAAAGTGACTTATTGATTTTGACTTAATAATTTTTAATTTGAGTTCACGTCAGTCTATACTTACCGTCATGCTTAGAAAGAGGAGAAACCTAACAAGTATCAATTGATGGGAACTAATATGCCTTTTAAATTGCTTAAGTCAATGGTTAGCTTTGTTTGCAACAATTTTGGTTTTAACTAAGAGCGTCTTTCCCTCACCTCGACTAATTCCACGGGATACCAGTTATGGTAAGATTCAATAAGTACACTCTTTTGAGTGTTATTGCGACAGGGTTGAACTGTTCGGTTTTTCAAAACCAGAGAAGTCACAAGAAGTTCAAAGGAGCAACTGTTATGTACTCCTATAAAGAAAAGACAACAACATACCCTATGGGCCGTGAAATCTTATAAGGTGGGGTTTGGGGAGGATAGAGTGCACAACACCTTACCCCTTCCTAGACCTTTGTGGAGGTAAGGGTGTTGTTTCAGAAAGACCCTCAACTCGAGTAACGCATATCAAAGTAGATTTAAAAGGAGAAAACAGAAGTCTAAAGGAAAGAAAAACATTAAAAACGAAAAAGAATAAATGCACAACACTAAGCAAACTCTGTACTCCATTTCAGAAGCAGTAGAGAAGTCACAAGGAAGAAAATCTCATAACAGTTTATCCCAGTGGATTCGCGCTAATACAAGCAAAATCATTGTTCAAGCCTAAACCTAAGATGCATGAGCAAGAATGCTAGAAAAAGAATTTGGAGAAACACAAAACTCTCCTCCTATTGCTCACCTGCCGGCGAAGTTTCTTTCCCCTTCAATCACAGCCCAGTTTGTTCATGTTAACTATCCAAACTTTGAGGTCCCAAAAAAAATCAAGACACAACCTACTTGAAATAAGACTACTGCTGGTAGTCAATGTTTTTTTGAGCATAACTAACTGCTTGTAGACTGTAGTCAATGTTACAGACAATACTTTCTTTCTATGCCAATACAACTCGCAAAAGGAAAAATTTTATAATTGAATTATCCATAACAAGGATGGAGCTAAGGGAATCAATTTTGATTATGACAAATTACAAAAGTTACCATGTTTTCAGGTAGGCTCATACTGATCATTTCCCTACACCAAATGCTTATCTCCAAAATCTTCTTCTAGAAGTTCCACGTCTATGTATTTGCTTCAGATCTTTAGCTGCAAGTAATGAGCAAATCAGAGAAGGACTAATTAGCAACATAAAATCATACCATCAGATTAAAGAAAAATGGTCTACTTGGTAAGGGAAGAAAGTGCAGACATAAATTGCTATATGCAGGAGAGCATCTCGAACAAGAAACCAAAAAAAAAAAAAAACTAGAAATGTAACATTATTCTGGATCACAAATTAGCAGAGAACTAATTATTGGGGACAGACAGACCAGTTAATGTCCACTTCTTTTCCAGGCCCACCAAGTCTAATGACAAAAACAGGGAAAGCCCTTTGGTATGGATTAGTATGTTTGAAAGAGATATTGCTATAACTGAAGATACCTGCAAGTCTTCCTGCAACATACAGAACTTCTTCAGCAATGGGTCTCCACTGCTCAGCACATGAAAAATTAATTCCCAGACCAACACTAAGTCCTCTCAGGATGTGCACTGTACGGAGAACAGAAAACAGTTCCTCTGGAAAAGCCTATCATCAAAACAAACAATTTTCAGAATTCATTTTACAGTATATGCATATTTAATTCGCCAACTGGTTCAACTGGCAACTGTTATCACCATGTGACTGAAGGAAAACTAATGTTGTTAACTGCCAATATACTATTGTTTCCAAAGGTGGGGACTTATGGTTAAACAATAGGAAATCTACTGAAGTTTACTAGGTGAAAGACATTATCTGTGGTTTTGGAATATCACAAGTAAAATTATGGACTGGGATCTTGACTGCAGCAATTTTAAAATTTATCAAGCAAAGAATAACGTTCTTAAGAGGTTGAAGGACGAAATACTGAGCACAGATCAGGGTGGCATCAATATATCTTGAGTTGTGAGATCCAGAAAAGCAAGTGAAATCTATATTCTTTTCAGACCATTGTGAATTCCTGTAACATGAGGAATACATCATTGGTGCTATTCCTTCGCAGTTATAATCCAATTGTATACCACCAAGACATTTATGCTTAAGGGATATCCAGACAACATTACATCATTTAAGGCAATGTAATAAGTAATATGAGAGCATGAGCTTTAGGATTCATTCTTCACGCAAGTTTTTCAGGGATTGATAAGAAATGGGAAAGTTAACATAGTTGAAGCCCTATGAAATTTGGCAGAAAATATGTATCAGAAAAGGAATTAACCATTTTATCACTCTCATAATATGTTTCGGGGAATATTAAAAATAAATTGGCCACATGATGAATACATGGCTGATGCACTTATAAAAAGTATTTGATGCTGCACGCAAGTATCAACATTCATCTCTAAATTATCTACTTCTAAAGTTCTATTTCCAGGATAGCGCTCAGCACAAGGATCCATCGGTTCATAGAATTGGGATAGGAAAGATATCAAATCCAAGGATTGGATTTGAAGAAGCGCGTATAATTATTCCAAATGAATACTAAGCAAGTTTAGTAAATCATGGGCTTTTGAACCATAAAGTCCTTTTGCTGCACAGACAATCTATGAAACTGTTATATTCTAAATCCTTACATTGGAATCTTGTACCAAAAGCATCCTCCAGATACAACTCCAAATTTCTAAATGCAACAAAATGACTTCCCCACCTTCCCAACCCAAAAGAAACAGAGAAGCAACACAAAAAGAACGGACACAAAACATTACGTACAAATTAGGTATTTAGGTCCTAATAGTAACTTGCGTAATAAGATGCCATCCATTCAATTTGCTCAACTAGTAGACCCAACTCTCAGTGTAGCTATATACTTTTTACCTAAGGAGCTTAAAGACATACCTTAACAGCAATCTTTTTTATTGAAGATTCTTCAGCGAAAGGTTGCAGCATTGTAACTCCAGGTGGTAATTTTGTGTCAAACATTGTTTGCGCCAGCCTAAGCATTTCATTCTGTTCATCCTCGCAATTGCTCAAGGTCTCAATACCAAGATCCCTAGGATATAAAGAGTACATATTACCAAGTACAACAATAAAATTGAAATAGATTGCTGCAAGTCTGCAGTTCTGTCGTTTACGCATTAGATCAGATTGAGCCGAGTCATAAAGAGTGCAGTTTGCAAAAAATCAACCACTAGTTCTAGTTCAATGGTGATGAGCCTATGAAGTATGTCAAGGGATATATATATTTTCAGATGAAGTAAGATGTTTCATAGAGGGATTTCACTGGGTATGTTGTTGTTGAAGTAAGATGTTTCATAGATGGCATCAAGATGTTCCATAGATGCAAAGATACTAAAATAGCCAATATAACTATTAGCTCCATTACAAAATGTTCCATTCTAACCAGGGAGCTAATGAAAAGAAGCAAAAATGTGGCCCAAGTTAAAGAAACTAAGAAAGTGAATTGATAAAATCTAGATATGAACCAACATTATGTACAGGTGTTAGGTTGCTCGAACTAACTAGGTACAGTAGAAGGTGTTTCTAATGATAGATGATTCACAATCATAGTTGCAAAGAGCATGAATACATTTTCTCTTAACAAAAATATGACCAGGTCTGCCATCTTATAGTTAATAATAAGATATGTAGCAGTACTCTGGTAGTCTCTTATCCTAGATTTCTATTACTACTTGTTATTTCCTGTGCTTCAGTTATCCCATTATTTGGTTGTTGTTATTATTCCTTGTTTGCTAAAGGCTATGTAATGATTTCCCTATTATTTGTTATGCCCTCTTTACTTCTGTATTTTCCTTTTCAAACTGCTTTGATTTGCATTACTTGAGCCGAGAGTCTTCCGGAAACAGCCTCTCTACCTCCACGAGGTAAGTGGGTAAGGTCTACTTACACTCTCCCCTTCCCTCCCCAGACCCCACCTGTGGATTGCAGTGGGTATGTTTTTACTGCTGCTGTCACTGATGCATAACAACTGTCAAAGAACCATGCTAGAGTAACAGACACCACACAAATCCTCTTTTGCTGTGAAAGCAGAAAGAGGAAATATATATAATTATATATATTTATTTACAAGAAGAGCTTTCAGGGTAAATTACTGCACCTGTAGCTCTCTGATGCCCTTAATGGGTTGTTATCGGCAATTGCAAGAACCAACCTAGCATATCCAAGCCTCAGTTCATCAGGTAGATCCTTCACTTGCCCATAATCAAGCAATGCAACCTAAAAGGAATAATGTAAATAACAATCTCCGTTGTATATTAATTGCGAGAGTGATGATTTGTAAATGCTTAGTTTAGGTATTCCAATGTACACTTGCCTCAGAGCCTTTACAGATCAGAATGTTACCCGGATGAGGATCTGCATGGAAGAAACCACTCTTGAGTATCATTTGTCCATAAGCAAGTGACAGATTTTTAAGGATGTTCCTGCATTTTCAGAATATAAAAAAGGGACCTTCACTATAACATTTTCAGAAAAGGGAACATACCAGAGTTCCACATGGATTCAAATATATACAGACATGAAAAATGACCACTTCAAGGGGAACAGAGGCGGAAGACTTTCTATACATCACGGAAAGGATCTATGCATGAAGCAAGCAGGCAAGTTCAGAACAACATGTTTTATGATAATTCAGAGAGTTACACTTTTGCAGCTGCCGCTAACTTGCCATCAGGATGTATGCCTCTCTTTTCCATTTCATCTCCTAGCTTCAAAATGGGTATGCCGTCAATGTATTCCATCACTAGAACCCTCCTAGTAGCAGCATGAAGAAAGTGATTGCTCAGGTGGATGAATATAGGGAGAATAGCAACAGAAATACACCAAAATTCATGCAAGCAATAGTTATTCCAATCATTGTAAACCAACCAACTAAAATAAGCCCGAAAAATCAAACAAATGCGGAGAAGATAAATAAATGATACAATAAGTGGAACTTATGGAGCTGCATGGACAAGCATTTGGAAATGCGCCTTTGACATCTTTAGAAGTAGATATAAGGGGTAGAAGTAGAATTCTTGGACTAAACATACAACACAAAAGGTAACCTTAAGTGGTGAATTACATACCTTTAAGTTTCAAGGTGACTGCTACAGGATCTAATTCTGCAACAGATAGGCCAAGCACAAGCTTTTTTTACTGGTTCTTTCAAAAGTATTTCATGTCGTCACTCCACCTATCCTTTACTATTTGCTAACTATTACCCTTTATATAGAACTAATCTTGTGCAAACACCCTGCATCCGCTCCCATATAATCTGATATGTTGAAGACATACTTAAGCAAATAAAGTGTGGTCTCTCTGACAACTTAAGCTTTTAGATGAGAGGTCATACACTTCAAACAGAATCTCCATGCTCTTGGCCATGAAAGATTTAATTGACCTTTGTGATAACTATCCTTATATATGAAAGATACTAAAATACATATCCACATTATCCAATCAATACATCAAATATGCTTTCTAAAAGAAAAACATCATACCACTTGTTAGACTCTTCATATTTGGTTAAATTACCCCGAACCAAACTTATCTGAAGAATGTATGACATTAAGAACAATATAGAATGACTGAGGCTAGGGAAAATAGACTTGATATGCAATCATTCAAATGAACTGATCCCAGTAGAAAAATCTTGCAACAGCGATGTTGAATGAAGCTTACATTCAAGTCCCATTGCGTGTGGACTTTAGTAGACTACACAAGTATCACCCGGTGTATGAGGGTTAATTCCATGAATAGGTTTTTTTTTTATAAGGTCATGAAGAGGCTGTGAAAAGAATATTCCTTTCAGGAAAAATCAGGATGGTAGAAAATATGATAACAATCCACGACTCATGCAAACAAAGATTTGATTGTCTTGCGGAGTAAAATGAAATACATATACCCAGTATCAGGAAGACTATAAAGCTTATAATAAAGCTTGTATGAAACAAACTGCAAACTACAAAGTGATCCACATGTATCAAAAACTGTGTTACATATAAAAGTGCATCCAGAAAGAACTGAAGAAAAGCCTTATGTAAGGACTTGAAATGTACGTACTATAGAATGAGCATTGCAGTGGAGAAACTAGTTAACTTTTGTTCGACACTTAGTCAAGTCATAACAAAGTTAAACACTTACCAGTTAAAGAAAAAGTCTTAATAAGGCTAAGCACAGTAATAGAAACACAAGGTAATTGAAATCACCAAAATAGGAGCTAAAGCTACTAGTCTCATCTTAGTTCACTATGCAACTCAGACAAAGCAATTTTTCTTCACCTGAGCATACCTGCTGACCATGTCTCGTATCACACAAGGTACCCGAACAGGGGACTTTTTGTTGTTCTGGCAAAGGAAATGCTGAATTCTTGCCATAGCTTCAGCTTCCCTCACAAAGTCGAATTCGTAGCTAATCTTGAATGAACAAGTTTAAACCAGATTACTTCAAAGATGCAAAAGTTCAAAAAATTTGATCTACTAGATTCACTCAATCAAGTAATAATATCCAGGTGGGAGGAAGTCAACTAACTGCATGCAAATACCAACAAATTCAATTGGTGATATTTGCTGATCTTGAAATATTTAGAGTCTCACGGATCAAACATCAGAGTCTAGAGAAGTCACGTACCAGTTAGAAAGTAAAACCAAACAAATCAAAGATTGTATACCATCTCCTAAGTAATACTCCTATCATTTTTGCACAGAGTAAAACTCAAAAACAGTATTTCATAGGGGGAAGGAAACAACAATGGAAGCCCTACAAGAAATTAGAAACTGCTCCCAAGAGAATTGCAAAATGCGAAGGCGAAGCAAAAAGAAACAAGGAGGCTAAGGAATTCTATCACAGGACAAAAAGGTGGATGTGGGATTGGGAATCACTCAGCATGTACAATTAAGTTCAAGATCCATAATTAATACTAACATTAAAAATATTAGCTAAATCAACTTATGGAAGAAAAACAACTAGTGTTATGTGGTTCAACAACTATTCTTTCATCTTTCAACAATGAAAATCTAATGAGCATTGACATAGATTGAATGGGATAATAAATTGATTGCTCTCATAGGCACTTAAGAACTAAAATAGACTGAATTAACAACTGAAAGAAAAATGAGCATGGAAGTGTAAGGTGTACTAGGTCAACAGACAATCAAATTAGAAAACTGGACTTCATAAATATTTTGCTTCAAGCAGTTGAGATATGGCATAACATTCTCTGGAAGAACTTTAATTATAGCATTACAGAGCATCACCCATAACACAAACAGACTTGTTAAGTCCAAAGGATCTGACATAATCATTGGAAAGATCAAGAATCATTCCCAGTTTTATTTTCCTTCCCTTTCCTGGAAGCGAAACAATTATAATTAGGCGCTCCACTGGGAGAACCTCAGCATATAGCAAACATCAAAGCAAGAAAATATCGAAGAGGAATAAGGATATGAAAAAGGAAAGAAAATGAAATGTCTATTAGTACAAGGCATATTGCAAATTCATGAATGTTTTGCACCTGTTTCTCCATTTCCTTGGTAACGGAGAACAGATCAAACTTGACATCTGTCTTTTGAATATATAACGCAAAGGCTTGCAAGTTGCGGATATCAGTCATCATCAATTCCTGAACTCCAGGATGTTGGACCTATAGTTTTACGACAATTAGAACCTCATAGTTACACCATTATTGCAAAATGACACTCAAATTATTACCTTGACGACAACATCATTCTTGTCACCTTTGAGTCTTGCTCGATGAACCTGAAAAAGGCATACATAAATATTAAAAAAGAACTTAGGCAGCAAGTCTTAAACTAAAGAAATGACAAGGTAATGTTTTAGATTTGAACATGAATTAAATACTACGATTAAATCCATAAATTTCCTTCTTATTAGTTTGAGCTTAAAGAAATGAAGACTACTCAATTGGGACGCTTAACAGGTAACATAACCAGTTTTCCCAATTTTACATTCTACGATTTCCATCTTTTCTTGCCAACAAAATGTGTCTTTGAGCATTCTATAATTTAGCAAGAACGAGAAAGAGAGTAGAAAAGTAGATACCTGAGCAATTGAAGCAGAGCCTAGTGGATCCTTGTCAAAATATTCAAACAATTCATCAATACTTTGACCCAACTCCTTCTCAAGCACTACCCTAATCACATTGTATGGTGTAGCTGGTGCTTGATCACATAGAGTAACAAGCCTTTTGACCCATGGAGCGGGCGCCAAGTCTGGCTTCCCAACTATTTGGGCAACCTAACATTATTAATCATCATCCAAAAAAACTGAATATTTCCTCAGCAATAAGTGGTACTATTATGATACAAAAAAAAATGTAAAAAAAATAACTAAATAAAAATTAAAAACAAAGCAGTTTGATAAAACAGTAACTAGCAAGTGATTAAAAACGCAAAGTAATGTGTAACTTCTGAAGCACAAGGGATGACAATCATGTGGATTTCCTCAATAGGATCGGAGCGCCCCCTAGATTAGTACTCCATGTCTTTCAATTTGTTTGTCTTACTTTACTTTTTAGTCAGTTTCAAAAAGAATGTTTTTTTTCTCATTTTGGCAACTCTTTTAACTCTAACTTTCCATTAGACCAGAAGATTAAAATGCATTTTGGTACATTCTACCTATCTTTAATTTAAAACCACAAAATTTAAAAAGGTTTCTTCACTTCCTAAATTACTTGTCAAGTCAAAACCATACAAATAAATTGAAACCTGAGAGTACTTGTTAAACCAAATTTAGATCAAACTATAACAGTTCAAGGTTTAGAAATTTGAAATAAATAACAATGAAACCAAATCCATTATAGACAAACAGAAGTACCTTTAGGAAAAACCCACCAAGCTCAGAACACATGCTATATATCTTGTCAGCAGCAACCTCGTGCTGCTTCTCCCACATCACCTCCTGTTTCTTCACATCCTTCTCCAGACTTGCTATTACCTGAAATACCTACAGAAGAACCCCCAAGCATAAATTTAATCGAACTACTCAATACAGAGTGAATACAGAATGAAAGAGCAAAAAGGGGTTACTTTATAACCAGTATAAATATCAGCAGCGCGAACCCAGAACTGAAAAGACCGTTGCCAAGGTCGGAGCTGAGTAGACACCTTTTCTTGAAATTTTTTGAGATCAAAATGGAAAAGCATGGTGATATTACTCAACTTGATACCAAAGATTTTTCTGCCAATTGATTAGTAATTGCAAATGGGTGTCTGAAAAGATGATTTTTTGGGCATTTGTATTGCTCAAAAGGTCTCAATTACTTGCATGGCTTGGGTTGAAGCTTAATTTGTATCTCTCTAATGGCTAATTTGGAAAATGGAGTTGGTACACTGATGAGTAAATCTATCTACAGATTGTAGACCGATGAAAATACAAAGAATTGCAAGAATGCGGAGAAAATGTTCAGAGTTAGCGCCGCAGAATTCGAGAAATGGGGTCTCCGCAGGCGAATGCCACAAATATATTTTTGCAAATGGACATTTACCCTCTGTTTTGATTTACTTAAAAAATATAATTTTAAGTTAAAAATAAAAAGTGAAATTGAAATGATTTTAAGTCAAAAAATAAAAAGTAGGGAAGATTTATTTTTGATTTTTGATTTATTTTAAGTCATTTTTTACCTTATCAAACACTTTTCAACTTATTTTAAGTCATTTTTAACTTATTTTAAATTATTTTTTATATTTGCCAAACACTTTCACAAATAAAAAACTGACTTAAAAGTAAGTTTAACCAATTTTTAAGTCAATCCAAGCACCCTCTTAATTTCCTCTAGATTCTTTTACTTTAATGCCAACTACGCTGAAAATGATTGTCCAAATCACTGAGAGATAATTTTTTGTGTCTATTTTACCCTGCTATTGAATAGAGGGACTAATAGATACAAGGCTAAGTTTTTTCTTGGATTTAACTCATTTATGTTATATTATATATATAAATAATATGTAATATATTAAATACTTCTCCATTATATTTTTTTATTTTATTTTATTTTTAGTGTAATTTAAAAAAAAATTATTTTTTGAACAACTCTTTACTTTCAATTTTCTACGCAATATATTTAAAATCACAAAATTAAAAAAAAATATTTGATAAATTTTACATATCTTTAATTTAAAATTATAAAATAAAAAGTCCTTATTTTTTTAAAACTCTAGTCAAGTTAAAATCAAATAAAAAATTGAAACGAAGGACGTAGCTTTTACAACTATTAAAAGTATATCCAAACACATGATATTGTTACAATTTGGTGCAAAAACAATTGATTGTGCTTGTCCTTTCATCACCAAAGAGATACCTTGAGTCAGAAGTAAAGGATACCTTCAATTAAAATATGACTTGATTATAGAAAGTACTAATTTATTCTCTATTTTATATTAACTGAGATGAATTTTTGGGTTTTTTTTTATTATTCTAACATAATAAAATTGTTCAAAGTTTAAGATTGACATTTGAAACTTTTTTCATACTTATGTTTCCTTTAGTGAAGTTTGATATTTTTTAAGAGATAAATTGCACTAGTTATAAGGTTATATTGATAATTTCACAAAGGACAATTGTGAAAAATATAATTTAAATTATGTCCTTAAATATTATTATTAATAAATATGTGTTGCCTCACAAATTCAATTAATATGAAATAGAGAGAGTATAATATAACAAATATTTCTTTCGCTAACGTTATATTCAACACAATTTTTACATATTTCACGAAATATTTATTATTTTTCACCAACATAAATACCTAAATTAAGCATTTAATTTCATTTTTTTTCTTTCCAAAGAGAGTATTGTTGAGAAATAGGGGTAAAATAGTGACGGAAAACAAAATTAATCATCAATATGCAAAGTAAAGATTCCCTCTCATCCAATAAGAGACTTTTCATTTTAGACAGATTGACCAGAATGCCCTCACACATAATAAAATATATATAAAGAAAGAATAGTAAAGGATCTATCATCTATCTTATAGGATTGGGCATTGTGAGGAAAAAATCATACACAATTTGGTAGACCTAAAATTTGTAGACTTAAATGTATAAGAAATTGGTCCCACTAAAAGCCCGTTTGGATTGACTTAAAAAAAGTAATTTTTTAAAGTGCTGGAACTTATTTTTAAAATAAGTAGTTATGTGTTTGGATAAAAATGCTGCAGTTGAAAAAAAAGTTGTTGATGTGTTTGGCAAATAAGTGTTGGTAAACATTTTTTTTTATCAAAATGTCTGAAATACCCTTTAAGCTGTTAACATGATAAAAAGTTGATTAATTTAAGGTTTTTATACTTAAAAAAAAATTAAAACAAAATTAATTTATGTTTTACATCCATAAGTAATAATATTTTTCTATCATTCACATACTTCTTTACCACCTTATAAGAGGAATATAAATTCATATTTCAGAAATAATAATAATAATAATAATAATAATAATAATAGTAATAGTAATAGTAATAGTAATAGTAATAGTAATAATAATAATAATAATTCAATATGGGCAATTTGGAAATTGTATAAAAGAATTAAGGGCAAAAAGGTAATATACTTGGTCAACATAAAAGGACTTTTAAGTTAAAAAAAAAAAAAGCTCCCTCCTCTAGCTTTTAGCTTTTGGCTTAAAATAAGTCATTTTTGACTTAAAATAAGTCACTTTGATAATTGTCAAACACTCTAATAAGTCAAAAACTGACTTTTAAGCCAGTTTGACCAGCTTAAAAGCCCATCCAAACAGGCTCTTAAATTGTGAGTTAAAAAGAAGTTTTATATATTTAACGTCATATGTGTGAGGCATGTAATAACTCTATCATGTTGGATCAATTAATTTTTTTTTTAAAAAAACGTTTATTCTAATAAAATAAGTCACTTGGTAATGAGTAAAATGACTTTCTTAGTGGGTGAAATTCTATATTGATTGCATCCTTTCACCCTTCAATATTACACACTTCATCTTCACCTCCACCTCCGTAGCCCCTAACTCCTATCTCATTTACATATCAAACACAAATAAGTAGCCCCCTAACTCCTACCTCAAGGTTTTACATATCAAACACAAATAAGTGAATTGTCTAATTACTTTTCTTCTAAAGTTATACATATGTATTTGTCTATTTTAAATTTTCCTCTTATTGAAATGATAATAACTTGTGGTAATCAAGCATATACAACCTTGTAGTTACTTTCTTGTAGAGAAAATTATTATAATTTATATAAGAATAAGAGGTCATTTTCTTGTTTCAGATTTACAGGTTAACTCAATAGGGTGGAAAAGGGGTGAAAGGCCCACATGGATAGGCAGTCTCAATCCCAAGATTAGTTGCAGCAACAAATGAGTGGCAGAAATTGAACAACAAAATCCTCTTAGGAACCATCACCACATATTGCAAAATCAGCACCAAAATCTAAAATCAGATGTACAGCAACCTTCCATTGATCTTTAATAAGTATGAACTTGGAGAAACCCTTATGCCAAAACTAGTGTTTTCTACGACAATATACTCGTGTTGACTCACACAAAACATCAAATTGCAGATATAGCCAGGTTAGCAAAATAAGCGAGAATATGCAGCAGCTCGTTGTACTTGAGGAAAAACTGATATATGAAACCTTGTTCTTAGACCATTTGGTTTTCACATGGCTGGTTAAGGTCTTGTATAGGGTGATTCTACGTCGATGAGGTCCCACTTATCTTCATCAGATTTATAACCCTCATCCTTCAAAGTTTCCTGTGTATCCCCTAGTAGAGCTTTTGGCTGAGGCCTTCTGCAGATACAAAGGAAGAGCTTGGTTAGCCATCATTAACACAATTGTTAGTCCGGTATCCATGCGATTCATTAAGACCTAACACTTAAAATAAACTATCAAAAATGAAGGCAAAAGTTAGCAAGGACAAGCACAATAACTCAAGTGGTCAAGATCTGTCATCTGACTGAATTAAAATATAGGTTGCTATTCCCAAGAGGTTCATTTAATATAACACTCCTGGCCACCCTCAGATGGGCAGCATACTCTCACACTCCATCTATTACTTCCCAAGATTAATATGACAAAAGGCAACCCATCTTTTGTTGACCGCAAATTCAGCAAAAACATCCATATCACTTTAGGATAGGATAAATAAACCAGTATATTTTGGATAGGAAGGAAGTCAACACAGTCACAAACCTAAACCTACCCAAGAACCAGAAAACCTTGCGATCCAGCAGTTGATAGTAAAGAGGAGGGAAATCAAATAAGACTAGATATAATTATGCACCAAGGTCAATGTGCAACCACAAATGCAAGTTCAGTTATAACTTATATATAGATCAAAAATATTAGGTTCCCTTCTTCATCATTCTAATTCCCTCCAATACCCCATGTTTAAAGTTTTGTCCATGCAGTCTGTTTCCAGGTGAAAGGTACCACACTACCACTAGTGTCTGCCTCTGCTACTTTTGCAACAACAGTTCCAACATCTTCGAATTTATTTCCACTGAATATGACGAAAGAAGTAACTATTGTATATAATAATTTCAACCAACAAAAAGAAAGCTAAATTGGAGGGTAGGAGATGTTTTGCACACCCATAGAGTCCGAGCAACATCGCATGCAGGAATAGAAGTGTTCAAAAATGCTAATCACATTTTCAATATTAACTGAAAAGACCTTCCTTTAGAAGTCTACTCTACATGCTGGCTACATCAATATGTTCCTTTGTTCTTAATGATGAAAAAAATATCATGCTTCTCCCATCCTGCTTTATGAGATATCAATTGATTGGACATGGAGTTCTCTACTGGTTCAAACATCGTACCTATATAAGATAGATCAAGGAGGGGGAAACAACAAAGATTTCACAAATTGATTTTACCAATTTGACATATTTTTGTACTTCTCGTTCAATGAGAAAATTTGTCAATGGTCGAGTTTTACTGGATCAAAGTTGAGGGACTTGAGAAATTCTCACTTTGGCTCAGTCTGGTCTAAATCCATGAATATTTATACATAAAAGACTATTTTCCATGTAAGCACCATCTATTCTCACAAGCTTCATTGATCAGAACTCGTGCAGGATCTCTAGCAAATATACCTGCTATATATTTGGTAAGCAGTCTACAAACAATGGACTTCCTTTTGTTCTACTTAGACTTAGACATACAAAAAAGAAATGACTTATATTAACCAATTCAGGGCCCGTTTGGCCATAGATTTTTTTGTTCTACTTAGACTTAGACATACAAAAAAGAAATGACTTATATTAACCAATTCAGGGCCCGTTTGGCCATAGATTTCCCAAGTAAAACTTGGGGAAAAATTTGGCAAATATTGTTTGTCCATACACTTTCTCATTATTTGGCAAAATTTTTTGGCAAATAACCCAAAGCCAAATCTCATTATTTGGAAAGTTTTAAAAATTTAAATTTAACACCAAACTTTTATCTTTTACAAAAACACTCTATTTATTAACACCAACCAACTCAATTAACTCTCCATCTGCCAACTAACTCAATTAATAAATTTTTCTATTATAAAGAGCATATATGTATGAATTTTCTTTAGATTGATCTTGCTTGAATTGATCTGTATGAATTTGTTCTCTTGTCTAGGTTTTAAGAGTTATGAATGATAAGAATCTTTTCTCCTTGTGTTTTATTTTATCATTCGACTGGTGCAACGTACGTCTTTCATTTTTAGTTAAAGATATGCTTTTAGATTCTGTGCACTCTAAAAAAAAATTAAGTTATGCATATGATGTGTTGTCATGTTGATGTTGTATTGTAGAAACGCAAAAAAATAAATAAATCACGTGGTTTAGCTGCTGATAAATGGACCGATGAAGAAACATCAATCCTTATAAGTGTCCTGCATGATGATGCGAGGAAGTCTGGATTTAAAGGCTATGCCATCAATGGTCCACGATTGATAGAAGTTAGGAATGAGTTTTTTGAGAAAAATTGAAAATCAAGATAAGTTTGATGATGAAAGTTTGAACTCAATGAATTTTTACGTGAACACCAAAACAGTGATGGAATATTCAGTGAATATGAAAGTGATGATATGGTTGTTGATGAAAATAACGAATAATCGGCTCAGGGTAACATCGCTTCATCTTCTCGATCATCTGATTTGCAAATGCAAGCTCATCGAGAAGAGATTGTTCATAGAATGTGGGAAGATTATATTAAAGAATAGTTTGAACTCTTCTGGAAGAAAAGGCAGAGGTGCTTCAGTGATTGCGATATTTATTTCCTTCTGTTTTCTTCTTCTTTTTCAAATTCATATTAGTTGTATTTTCATTATCATGATTTGTACTAGTCTCTTTTAACAATGCGAATATTTACTCTAGGTGACATTTTTATTTTACTATGTAATACAAATTTATGGTTAGTTTTAAAAGCTTATGGGTATAAATCATATTTCTTAAAAAAAGGAAATATGTTTCACAAATACTATGGTCAAACACATGGTGAAATTTCACCCAAATAATATTTGCCAAAAATATTTGAAAATCTATGGCCAAACGCTAGCTCAGTTTTTTGTTTTTGCTCTATGACAACCAACAATGGAAGTGCCTCTTATGATGATATGATAATGTGAAAGCATAAGATTTGCCACAAAACTTAGTTTAAAAGGGAAAGCCTCATCTGGAGTCTGGACAAATTTTAAGGGGCTCAGCTACACTATCCCATTCTTCTTTATTCTAACCTCGAAATAACTTTTGCACCAATGAAGATGCTTTATAATTTTGATGTTATACATTGAACTCCTCCATGAAGAAATTACATGAATCACGCAACTTCAAACTTTCAAGCAATACACTAATCGGGAATAGAACCATACTAATAACATGGTACTTATGGTGGAATGCGTACATTTTATCTATCTATTCTCCTAACGGCTTCTTTTTCCTTCTCGGTGTAGTTACTTCATGAAATCTTTAACTGGTTGAACTATGTTTCTTTCTGAAACTAAATCAACACTAATAATATACGGGAAAGATAAGTGGAACTGAGTCAGCTCACTTTTCCTCGTCCTATACAAAATACAAGCTCAGCGCACCCAATAATGTCATTGTTCTTATGCCACAAAAGGCAAAAGCTGTACCAATTTACGTATCATTCTTTCTAAAATGAGCAAAATCGAGGAATACAACGATAAATGAGAAAGGAAAAATCGATACAAACCTTTTGCGGTTTCGTCTGGCAGCATCACGAGACTTCCTTTTCTTCTTTTCCTGAGTAGATTCAAAAAATCTTCGGCGTTTACTCTCTTGGATAACTCCAGCTCTGAAAACCTCCCTGCGGAAGCGGCCGATGAGCTTCTCTTCCGGCTCGTGTTCCCCAGCTATAACCTGAACATTATATGCTGATTTAAAGAAGAGAATATTGGAAAATGAAAGTGAAGGAAACAGGTGAGAGTAATCAGAGCTGTATTTGTCGAGTTTCAGAATTGGAGTTACAGGTGACGATGTAGACGAAATAGATGGAACACATAAAGGTACGGCACTAACGGTACTGAATTGTGCAGTTTTTGGACGGGAATTTGCAGTGTTTTGGTTGTTGGTAGAAGAAAGCGGAGGGTTGAAGAAGGATGATGACAGAAAAAGGGCCATTGATGTAGAACCTTCGGGGGTTTAAGAAGAATGAGCTTTGGGGTTTTACATTGCTAGTCCATTCGATTAGGGCAACTAATTAGTTTAGTTTTGAATTTTGATATACAGATATTCTTCGACGACCGTGGTTCAGTGTACTATTTGGCATATCCAATAATATTTGTTTACTTTATTACATTAATGAATAATTTTATATTTAATTTTAAATTTATTCTTATCATTAATTATAGTTATTTTCTTATTAGAATTTTTAAAATATTATATTTATTATATTCATATAATAAAATTAGAGCAAATTTCACATATAGCAAATATAAAAACCATATTTGTATGTTATAGCTATAGTTAATATAATTGCGCTCCATAACAAATTTTATGTTTGTCATGGAGCTTTTGATTTATATAATTCGCTACATACATCTAATTTTATACAAATTGTTCAGTTTTGTATAAATTAATTTATACATTGTAATTTGTATAATAAGATCTGTATTTGTATAATTATAAGTATATATAACGAAAATATATTTATTTGTATTTGTATATACACTTTCTTCTCGTTTTATACAAACACAAACGCATTTTATACCGAAATGTATAAAATGGCTAATTGTATACCAAATCAAATAGCAAAAAAATAAAATGTTTGTTGCGAATTACAAATAAAATAAATTATGGCTATAATATTTAATTTGAATTAATAGTTTGTTATTTCATATAATTTTTCCATAAATTATCATTCTAATTTCTATCTATAATTTTTTTTAAAATGTATAAAATCAATAGTGGACAACTATTATTGAACAAGAAAAGAGTATATAACAAAAATCATATGCACCGAAAAGTACGTACGTAGTATAGTTCTTGGTATACGTGAATATTAAATTATAAACAGTCTATAAAAATCAATTTCCCTTAAATAAGGGTATACATGAATAATTTAAATTATGAATAGTTTATACAATCAACTTTCCTAAAATAAGGGTATACATGAATAATTTGATCGAATTTTTATCAAAATCAAATTTAATTAGTTATATTTTTTGGAGTTTCAGAATTAATTTATGGAGTTTAAATTTATGAAGATTCAAAATTCATAATTTTTTTGTAGAGTTTGAAATAGTATTAGAACTGAAATAGATAAAAATAAATAAAGTTTTAAATATATATTATAAGTGAAATTATGATAGAATATATATGTCATGATTTTATTTCTAATCAAGTCGTGCAGATAATATGTCTGACTTTTATGCAATATTTTCATTAAATATAATTTTGGATCTAAAATTCAAGTTAAATAAACATTTTTACATTTTATTTTATTATATCATTATATAATATAATAAAATATGTCATGATTTTATTTCTAATCAAGTCGTGAAAGATAATATGTTTGACTTTTATGCAATCCTTTTATTAAATATAATTTCGGATCTAAAGTTCAAGTTAAATAAACATTTTTGCATTTTTATTTTATTATATCATTATATAATACACGTATAATATAAATACATAACTTAAATTTAATATTATCTATGAAGCTTTTAAACGGTAGATAGTGATTACATAAAAGGAAAAACTGAATAAGAATGTCTAATGTGCATTCCTAAGGAAAGTAAGAAAAACCTATCAAAAGCATAGGGAGCGTGTGATCTCTAGCAATCTCAAGAAGTTTCAACATTCCCGCATTAAAATTAAAACGAGGTTTAAATATATCGTATATAATAACATAAAATTTTAAAAGAAACAATTAAAAAACACTAGCGTATAAATAATATCATATTAACTAAACATCACTAAGTATTTCTTAGTAAAGTACACTCTTTTCTTCTTTAGCTTTTAGATAGTTTTAATTTTTTTTTAAATTATGTTCAATTGTGACATTTAGTAATCCTCTATAACTATCTTTGGACATTTATGCGACTATAAAATATATTGTGCTTTAATAGGACAATATTAACAATTATTTTGTTTGATTATTTTATCCCTTTACATAGTTATCATTTATGTTATGTCCAAGTATAACAAATTAGTAATCATTTGCACAATTATTTGTAAATATTTGTACGGTTATGATATCATTTTATGTTTTTTATAGCAAAGCTAGTAACCCTTCACACACTTACTTGTATGATTACCATTTCATTAAAATTGAATTAAGTTTTCAAATTTCAACTTTTATAATAGCTATGAAACTTAAAGCACATCAAAAATATTTTAAAATAGCTAAAACATTAATAATCTTAAGATCATGGCTAAAAATGGATTAGTGGCCCAAAAAGTGATTATTTGTCAATTTCTCCAAAGTAATAGGTGGTTAGATCAACAAATTACTAAGAAAAAGGACCGGAGTGAATTTTTACAAATTGAAGAGGTGGATATGTAATTCACAAAAAAAGTCAATAGATTGCCGTATTTATACTCAACTTTCCGACGATCGCCGGAACTGAAAAAAACTCCTCTCTCCGGGAATGGCAGGAATGGCTATGTTTGCATCAAATCTCTCCAGCGAGGTATCCTTTCTCTCATTATCTCCCCAATGTTTACACTGATCTGACAGCGATTTCGTTAACTGACAATCCGGTTTGCCGCCAGTTATGGTCCATGCTTAATTTCATATGTAAATTAGGGTGTTTCTAATTTAACTGAGTTTTTTTGTAGGATCATTAGCAATTAAGGTTTTAGGCTATGTTTTTGTTTCAATTTAGCGGATTATAGAAAGATAATTATCGCCTGTGTTTTCACCCAGTCACGAACAACTCTTTTTTTCTTCTAATAAGTAAGATGATGATATGTTCATTCCTTTAAGCATCAGCTGTTGTATCCTAGAGGGACTAGGAAGCGTACACCAGATTCCAGAAGCAACTAGGCAGTGTAAAATTCAGACGATGTGCACTTTCGACTTCAAACTTATATGTAAAATTCAATAAAAAGACAAAAAACACAACAGAAGAATTTCTTATATTAGAGTATCATTTTTTACCTTTGTTCTTTTTCAGAGGATCACCACCTTCATTGGACGAAACAGTGAGGGTTTTCCAGATTGGTCTGTCAAAGGTGGGATTAGACTAGATAAAATTATCTCAACAAATTGGTCGTCATGTTAAATGACCCTATATGTGTCAGTACTTTAGTATAAAATAATGAATGAATTGATTAGATTGTTAGAAGCATATATAGAATATCATCATTTTTGTCATGCTGTAGTGTTCTGAGGAAATGTCGAAACAGACAGTGATCTTTTAGATCTTCTTGCCAATTATGGTTAATTGACAAGTTGGTAAAATTTGTAAGTATCATATACTACTTCCCCAGTCTTAGAGTGTTTGAACTGGTCAGTGGCCAACCACTCTTGTTCCGCAACCCTTGAGGTTCATCTTACAATTTTACTTTTCAAGCTTCACTAAAACTTCTTTTCTATTACTGGTCATCCTTGTGCTTATAACTTTCATTTATGTCTGCATTTAGAAGGTATAGGTTCTTTCTTCTTTTCTGGTCTCACATCACTTTCTTTTGATGCAGATGGGGTTAAAATTGCTTCTTAGCCCGCTTAATACTAATGCTATTGTCCGCACTGCATGGTGAGCTCTTATTCGAGTCTGGAGATTTTCTTTTTGATGACCCCAGTTGATTTTTGCCATTGTCACTTTTATGTTTAAGAAGGCATCCTACACTGTTTTTTGGGATGAGGATGCAAAAGTTTCAGTGCCATTTCACGAACCTGAAGAAGTTTTGTTTCTAATAGACATTCTGAACTCTACTTATTTAGTCGCTTCTATTAGTTGGAAAATTGAAGATTATAATTGAACTTTAAAGGTATTTGCAGCTGTTCTGTAGGGATTGTTTTGCCTGTTTATTCTACCTTTAAAGCAATTGAGACGGGGAATCGAAACGAGCAACATAAATGGCTTCTGTACTGGGCAGGTGATGATGCTTTCCAAAACTTTACAAATTTCTTTTGCTTTGCAAATCTTGAAATTGCATTTTTCTCCACAAGATACTGATTAATGTCCTCACCACAAAATATCTCTGTTAAGTTATATTATATGTCCTTCTGTTTCCCTAATACCATGTGAAACTATTGCCGGGAAATAATCTAAGAGATCATTTGAAAAGCAAAAGGATGTTGTCGAGTCTACTGAACAAGAAAATACAACAAGAATTTAAGTTAGATCCTCCTTTAAATCATCTCATTTTTTGTAAGAATGACACTGCTATACTTGTAATATCTCAATTACTTGCTACATCTTGGACTTGGGTGTGGTTATCCAATATGGGTGCAGATCTAGAGGTCAGATTCCTCATCACATAAATTTTAGGATTTTGATGTATGGATCCAAGTGTAGATACGACCAATAAATGTATACTCCCTCCGTTTCAAAAAGATCGGTCTGGTTTGACTTGACACGAAGTTTAAGAAATTAAAGAAGACTTTTGAATCTTGTGGTCCTAAATTAAAGTTATGTCAAATGTACAAAATTGCCCTTAATCTTGTGGTCTTAAACATGCCACGTGGAAAGCAAAAAGTAAAATGTTACCAAAAAAGGAAAGAGGTCATTTTTTTGAAACTGACTAAAAAGGAAAGGAGGTCATTCTTTGTGAAACGGAGGGAGTATTTAATATATAGAAGAATATATATATATATATTCATAATTTGATTAATTAGTGACATTGAACTAAAACTAGTAAATTTAATTCTCATAAACACCTACTTTTAATCACAAGATATCTCGTGTAATAGCAAAGTGTTACATATAATATGAGATACACTCTAAAATCAAACCAAATACCTTCCAATTTATACTTCTTGGTCATAGATGTAGTCAAAGCACCCAAGGTAAGTTGACCAGATCTAGTGTGGATCCCACACCCAAATTGTGTCGGATCAACACGGGTGCGACAAAGATTTCGAAGGGTCCAAGCAACATACAGTGGCAAATCTAAGATTTCTAGAACATGGAGAAAGAAAAAATGTATGAAGTGGCCAAGTGGGAATTGATCCCTAGTTCAGAAAAAATATATGAAGTGGGAATTGATTCCTAGATCTCAAGGTAAATAACTCAACATTCAACCAAGTACACCATTAGTCTTCTTGTTAGCATGGGTGCCACTGCCAGAACATAATATTATACCAATTTTGGAAAATATATACATTAAATATCTAGGTTTACAGAAAGACCACGGGTCCATGTACCCCATATTTTTGCCTATAAATTCGCCCTTGGCAACATAGACATCACCTGATTTGATATATGATCCCAGCAGAAAGTGAGCAATCGGTACGGATTGGTGTTTGTCTTTTTCTTCCCCTTCTGGTTATTAATTCTATGATGATACTAACTTCATGTTTTATGATAATTTTTTGAATAGGTGTCACTGTTCCCCCCACCCCACCAAACAAAAAAATAAATAAATAGAAGGAAACTCCCACTCCCCCTGAATACTTTTACTTTCCTGATGACTTATTCCTAACCTATTCAATGCCTAATCACGGTGGATTGAATGAGTCACAGTAACTAGTTTTAGATTTATGTGATTGCAATTTTCTTGCCCATATATCTCTTAAGTTACTCTCTCTCACTCCCTCTCTGCTTGCAGCATATGGATCTTTCAGTATTGTTGAAGCATTCACGGATAAATTTCTCTGCTGGTACTGCTTCCATTTTCGTTTTCTAATTTGCTTATAGCCACTCTGATGTGGTTACATGGGGTTATAAGTTTGGGAATACCAATTTTTACTAGCCTTGCTCTTGTAACATGGAAGAACTTTGTCTTATTTCATAGGTTCCCACTATACTATCATGTGAAGCTCGCATTTCTTGTCTGGCTTCAACTTCCATCTGCTGAGGTGAGTTCAACGGATATTTTGTTTCTTGAACTTTATCTTTCTCTTTCCTTTCCATTTCGCGTATCCTGCTTTTGGGGAGGATTGGTGTAAAACACAATTCACTTTCATGGTTTATGTATCCCGAATATACCCTTCCCCATTCCAAAAGATAAGTGCTTGGGAAAAAGCAATACCTTTATCGTTCGGAAGACTGTGACTTTATGAGCTAACAAATTATAACTGGATATCCTTTCCATATGAAAGTCTTGTTGGTTCTGCTATTGAAGAGAAAACTGAGGAAAGATTGAAGAATAACATGTTTGGGAGGAGAAGATAGATGAAGTCATGAAGAGATATACAGAGATGGAAAGGAGATAGAGAGAGACAGAAGGTAAGTAGGCGAAGCTTAGGTTTCGAATAAGAGAAAGAGATCGTGGAACTTAGGTTTCAAGCAAGAGACAAGGAAGGTGGGAGTCTTAGAGAGGATGGGTGGGTGAGGGGAAGCTAGTGAATCTGGCAGACAGTGGAAAATAGAGAATGGTGAGGATAGTAAACTATATTTAATAATTAGGATAATCATCACTGGTCCCTTTGTAACTTTTTTTAATCAATTAAACTTAGCATTAAGATGCCTTAATCTCAACATACTTGCGAGTGTATCCGGCCAAACCTCTTGGAAAGAAAAAAAGATCTAGCTGCTTTTGAGTTGAATTCAGCTGAACTTAATTAGAGTTGAGGATGTAGCTTTAGCTTGAAGTTTATACTTAGTTTTTTCACCAAAAATGGATTTTTGTAAAGTCATGCACTTCTATTGGTGTTACACAGGGTGCAAAGCAATTGTACACGAACCATCTGCGCCCTTTCCTCATGAGACATCAAGCAAGACTGGATCATATTTTGGAGTTATTTCATGGAGAATTGGTAAAAGTTATTTGTTCACGTATGTTGTAAATTTGCATATCAAATGTGTAGATGCAACTTGCCATTTAATTGAAGAATATGTAATGTGTCATCTAGTTCACTTTATTAGGATGCATTGTTGTTGCTTGACGTTTAGCCTTCTTCCAAAGATTTTCAGAAATTTCAGTGCAATTCTGGAAGAAGTCAAGAAACTGCTATCATGCATGTAATCTCATAGGACTGCTTAAGGATTCTTGTTCAATAGTTTGTCTCTAACATGTATATGCGCAGCTTCTTATGGATTTTTGAATCGTTAATCAGATTTCTTATAGAAATAAAATTTGCAGGGTAAATTTATTAGTACTCACCAGGCAGAAATCCAGTTTGCAAAGGTGTTTCTTGGCAAAACTTTACTATCAGGTAATCCTTTTATATAAATGATTTCCATCGTATATATTTTGACAGGAAAAATCTTCCTTCATCTTATGTTGGCTTTCAACTGCTATTTCATGGTGAACATCATCAGTATTTATCCATTTATCATTAAAGAAGAAAAGTAGTTTCATATTTTAGTTTGGAATATGTAGCATGTACATCAAAAAGGGATAGGTTTAACCAAGTAAATTTCCTTTTTTATATTTAGTTGGAAATATTCTTCAACAACCTGCGCAAGGACGAGTTGTTGGTACAATTGAAGGGCCAGCGGAGCAAGTAGAGACTTCAGAGTCTGAAGATGAATCGTGATGCCCTCTTCAAAATCAGCTAATAAGTACCGTCTCTCTGTTGTACTTCATATCAACTTAGTTTAGCTTTCGTTCATTTTCTCACTGCATCTTTGATGCAAAAATAGGTAAGAGTGATCAGTGTGTACATAATTTTCTAAGGAGTCAATTTTGTTGTGGTTTGAGAGTTTCCTTCTCCGTTTTCCTGTAAATATATCAACAGAAAGTGCTGATTTCCTTCAATCTCGTAGGGCATTATAAGATTTCACATTGTTTTTAACCATTTTAGCAGACTTTGTGCGGTTATTGCCTTGTATGCATTGTGAAATAGTACTTATTTACTGGGAGTGAAGTTGTTCTGACTATCCTACTTATTCAGACACAATATTTGAAGCATAAACGTGGAATTTGAATTTAATTATTGCAAGTTTTAGTTCATTGGATGGAGAAAATCTTGCTGGGAGTGTCACCTCTAAATGGACCTTGCAGTGCGCTATTCGAATTTAGTCAGATTTTATGAGAAGTGGTGTTGGAGCTATCTACGTATAATAAAGCATAGTAATCTACATGAGGATTGAGTAACTCTAATAAACAAATCACCTAGTATTGTTTTCATCAAAATATTTACACTTTGAAATCTCATTGCTCCCCATTAGTCCCATCAAAAGTTTTGTTTATTTAGATCACATCAACAAGATATCATATTGATGGTTGGTAACACAATTTAAGTATTATATGAATGATATATATAAAATATTACCATGCAATTCTTTTTTCCTTTGAAGATGATTTTACATTGAATTTGCTAATGAGAATTGAGTAAATCCTAATGACTAATGAGTATTTCAACTTATACGAAACAAGGACTATTTAGAAGTTGGATTGACAATAATACAATCAATCAGTGGTACAAATTAAAACTCTTGACTTACCTGGGGACTTAATTGTATCTTTTCAATAATTAGACGACCAGTTTGTAAATAATTACATTAAACCCCTCCACTTTTCCCATTGCGGGGTCCATCGGCAAGCAGCAAATATACTAAAAGCAACCGACTTCGGCGGTTTCAGGTCATTCTTCTCAATCTGCTATCACTCATGGCGGCGGCGGTAGCGGTAGCGGAGACCCGAAAGCTCCCGCGGCCGGGAAGGGGCGGAGTTGTGTCCCTCGGCCTGACAAATGAAGAAGCTAGAGTTCGTGCTATAACGGAGATCGTCAACAACATGGTGGAACTCTCACGGAAAGGCAAGGATGTAGACCTAAATGCGCTAAAGTCAGCAGCGTGCCGCAAATACGGGCTCTCTCGGGCTCCTAAGTTGGTAGAGATGATCGCTGCTTTGCCTGACTCAGAACGTGAAACACTGCTTCCCAAACTCCGAGCCAAGCCTGTCCGTACAGCCTCTGGAATAGCTGTCGTAGCTGTAATGTCCAAGCCTCATCGTTGTCCTCATATAGCTACCACCGGAAACATTTGTGTCTATTGCCCTGGTGGCCCTGATTCTGATTTTGAGTACAGTACACAGTCATACACTGGATATGAGCCTACTAGTATGCGAGCTATTCGAGCTAGGTGAGCATCACATACATAGGTGTATTTGCAGTTTGATATTCTCCTTCCGTCAATTTGCAATCGAATGGAAGTAGTTATCCTGAATTATGCCTTAGGATTTCAAAATTTCATCTATATAGTTTACTGATAAGTGAGAAGCTCATCTATATGTTCCATTTTTTTAATTGGAGAAGTTTTGCTGTTATCACCGGAAAGTATCATACATAAGATAAGGATTTAATGCTGGTTGATGTGTCTTTGCATCCGAGATTTGTTAAACCTTCCATATACTTTTTTCTTGTTGGAAAAAAATGTGGCATTCCTTATATGTGGCTAATTAAAAAGTTGTTATACTCACTTACTCAAAAAAGTAATCTTTGGAAAGACAAGATCAGGATTTGTACTTATGTGGTTCATTTTTCCAGATACAACCCTTATGTACAAGCTCGAAGCCGGATTGATCAACTTAAGAGATTGGGTCACAGTGTTGACAAGGTTTTTCCCCTTTGGAAGTACTACTTATTCTTTTCTGATTTTGGAAAATTGTTCTGAAATTGGCTGCTTTCCTCACAGTTACGAATGTCTTATTGCAGGTTGAATTTATCTTGATGGGAGGTACATTCATGTCATTGCCTGCTGAATACCGTGATTACTTCACACGGAATCTTCATGATGCTTTATCCGGACATACTTCTGCCAATGTTGAAGAGGCTGTTGCGTACTCCGAACATGGGGCGACAAAGTGCATTGGGATGACAATTGAAACGTGAGTAACTATTGGCTACATGAGAGCGGTTTAAAAATCACAGTGAAAAACACTAACAAGAAAAAAAAATCCACAGGGAAAAGTACCTTGAGAAACCTTTTAGCTTATATTTTGGTCCTCTGTAACTGAGATATCCTCTTTTTATCAATTTTGTTCTCCTCTCTTTTGTCTTACTTTTTTCATGTGGGAACTGAGTTCAGACTTAGTGTTTAATGCATGATAGTGCATCTCCCAGTAAGGAAGAAAACATATTTTGAGTTCTCATCTTCCTCATCCTCATGGTTATCACTGCCATCTTTGGTTTTTTAGTTATATTATTATTCTGCGACCTTTGATTGTTATTATTTTGATTCTTCTTCTATCATATTCGATTATAAGAATACTAATAACGAGATGGAAAATAATTCAAACTAAAACAAGAAGCAGACAAGGTGCCATAGTCAATTTCTTTGGAGGCTAGACGTTTGGTTGAGCTACTACCTCTGAATAATTTAAGCATTTATTTTTATCTTTTGTGTGTACTCAAAAGTTTGTATTTTGCCAATAGGAGGCCAGACTACTGCCTTGGACCTCATTTGAGACAAATGCTTTCTTACGGTTGTACGCGGCTAGAAATTGGAGTCCAGAGTACATATGAGGATGTTGCTCGTGACACCAATAGAGGCCACACTGTTGCAGCTGTGGCTGATTGCTTTTGTTTGGCAAAAGATGCTGGCTTCAAGGTACTTTTCTAATTTCTTTTTGTTGGTGGTTTGGGTTCAATCTCTACTTTTGGTTCCAGGTTACAAAACCCTTCTACCTCTAATAGCCTTCACCCTCCCCAAGCGACACGGAAGATGAGCATTGAAGAAGAAATTTAAATGGAAAATCAAATTTACATCCTTAGTCGTGATATTATCTATTTGGACGTATCTTAGCTCATTTGGAAGGATTTGAAATGAAGCTTTGTCTTGAAGCTGTTGGCGTGATTCTCACATTCTGACATTCAATTCCCTTCTATTATCTTTTTGGACTTCACAACATACCCAGAGGCAAAAAAAAATACCCAGTGTAGTCCCACTTGTCATTTTGGACTTGAGGAATATAATTTTATCGTTATGTGTTGTTTCTTTTGCTTCAATTACCGTATCATTTGTTGTTTCTATTGTTCTCTTCTCATTTATTTTTAGTATGGTGTCTTCATTATTATTTTTCTTTTCAATACTTGATTTTGATATGCTTTACTTGAGCCGAGGGTCTATCAAAAACAACTTCTCTACCTTCACAAGGTAGATCTTCTCCCTTGTTTCTTCCCTCTTCCTGTGATCATGACCATGACTGCTAAGTAATTTCCGAAAGCTACCGCTATGATTAAAAAGCTCCCAATAGGCCACAGGAGTAAGGCTGCGTACACCGTTGTACTGGTAAAATTTTCATGCATACCTTTGTTAATTTTTTGTAGGTGGTTGCTCATATGATGCCTGACCTTCCAAACGTTGGCGTTGAAAGAGACTTGGAGAGTTTCAAGGAATTCTTTGAAAGTCCTTCATTTAGGACTGATGGACTTAAAATTTATCCTACACTTGTTATTCGTGGCACGGGGCTTTATGAACTGTGGAAAACTGGAAGGTATAGTCTACTTTCTGGATTTTGTTGTCGCACATGTTGTTTTTCCATCACTGAAATCATTATTAAATCAGGCAATAAGATTGATTTCATCCAACAACCTAGTTGGCAATAGCAGTAGCCATATAGTTGGATTCAAACTTGAAATATTATTTCAATGAGGTCATTAGTCATTACAAGTGTTAACACGTGCAGGTATAGAAATTATCCACCAGAGCAGCTTGTAGACATTGTAGCAAGGATTCTTTCTATGGTGCCACCTTGGACCCGAGTTTACAGGGTCCAACGTGATATCCCTATGCCTCTAGTGACTTCTGGAGTTGAGAAAGGGAATCTCCGAGAATTGGCTTTAGCTCGAATGGATGATCTTGGCTTGAAATGCCGAGATGTCCGAACACGCGAAGCTGGGATCCAGGTAATATAATTTTTGTATCTACTTCCTTGCTTCTCTTACAGTGTGGTCACAGAACTCAAACTTTTGATGGAAATAACATATTAGGACATTCACAACAAGATAAGGCCTGAAGAGGTTGAGCTTGTTCGCCGTGATTATACTGCAAATGAAGGATGGGAGACTTTCCTTTCATACGAAGATACACGCCAGGTATGTCAATTCAGCTGTGTTTCCCTTTGCCGATTTACAACTCCTTCCTTGATCTAGCGCCAAGCTAATAGATTGAACTCATTATATTTTGCTGCCAAAAAGGGTAACTGGTTCTAGATTCTTGAACAATAAAAAAAGGTTACTTGTTCTAGATTTGTTTTACTTCTGCGGTGGGATCAGCACATAACTTCTACACAGTGATGTAAGCAAGCCTTTTTCTTCTTTTTCTTATTACATTCTAAGGAAATTTTTTCGGAGTCGTGTCCTGCAATTTAAAAACGAAGAAAATGGTCATTTGATAAGATTGTAGATAGTAAACAAGTCTTCTAGATCTCTTTTTATAAGTGCTGGTAAACTATTGCAAAGTATTCTTTACTTCCACTATGAAGAGTTGATGTAATTGCTGAAAAACTTGTTGTCTCACATCTTTGCCAGTCATTGTATGACTGTTAACATTTTTAATATAAGAAGGGACCTTTCTTTTTGTTATAATGCAGGATATTCTTGTTGGATTGCTACGGCTGCGGAAGTGTGGACGGAATGTGACTTGCCCAGAACTCACAGGAAAGTGTTCAATTGTTCGTGAGCTTCATGTGTATGGGACTGCAGTTCCTGTTCATGGTCGAGACACAGATAAGCTGCAGCACCAGGGTTATGGTACTCTGCTGATGGAGGAGGCTGAGCAGATTGCTCGGAGGGAGCATAGGTCGACCAAAATCGCTGTTATCTCGGGTGTAGGGACCCGACATTACTAC